AAAAGTCAGATCTTTAGATGATCGGAAGATCTGTCTTTGGTCAAATCGTACGATAATTTTGTGAAACCCGGCCCTGATTTATAAGAAAGCTATGTCAATCAAATTATATTGTGTGTATTTTTTTACTTTGATTTATCTTCATTCAGTATATATGTCTTATTTTTTAAATATTAAGTTGGAATCCGACCTTTGGTGCCGAAACATCACAAAATAATTATTCCATGCTGATTCTATATCAAAGTGCAAAATGTAACTATCTCCTACAGGTGTCTTTGAGGTTAGAAATAAACAATCTGGGTACAAATATATCAGGAAACTCACGAATTGCCCAGACTTAGTATTTAAGGGGGAAATACACCCTGTGATATTTAAGGAATGGATTGCTGCAGAGCACGTTGTCAGCAATCAAACAAAACGTATACGTATTACAATATCTAAAACGATGCAAGCTATTGACATTAAAGTTGATGAAAGGAGAAAATAGACACCAATTAACCTTTTGTAAATTCTATGGCTGATACAATGACCTTGTCAACAACTTTAATCTATCATTAAGTGCAATGTTAACTGACTGTTAATACAAATTATAAATGATCTACATCCGATCAAGACTAGGAGGGTTGGCTCGTCCTAGCTAGAGATCTGTAGCTCGCTGTCTGAAAAAAACTAAATAAACAACCAGAGAGCTACAGTGCAACCTAATTAAAGGTGTACATTATTTGCACACAAAATATGCGCCGTTTTTGACTTAATTCGGCATATATTTTGAAACTTTACTAGCCTGTGTTCCCTACACATTCTTTACTACTTTTAAAAGAAATGCATGCGCAACTCATGCACAAAGCGTTACGGACCGCATAGTCCTGCAATCGCATCATCTCGAGTCGTTCCGTCAGAGGTCGGAAAAACAACCTCGAATGCATTAACATCACCGGATGTTAAAAATTTATACATTTCCTGTTTATTCTAATATAGGATAGGCGGTGTTAGAAGTCCCTTCTATAGTATAACAAACCATATTCAACACCAAAAAAGTCCATTATTACATAATACTGTAGCAAACCATGCACAGCCTGACAGAAAGCAGTGAACAATCGCTCCCAGCAGGCCGAGGGTTTTAAGCAGACCTCGAACCCGACTGACCTCCACATTCCCCCCTTCTTAAAGGTCTTTGGCCCTCTAAAGACCCCTACCAAAGCTCATCCCTGGCAGGTCTTTAACCTGTTAGTTCCAAAGCCTGGCAAGGCACCAAATGTAACGGGAGAGGAGAAAATTCAGCAGACCAGACCGAGATTCGAACCCGGGCCCCCTGAAACTGCGGTCAGGTGCTCTACCAACTAAGCTATCTGGCCATCGGCGATCGAACCCGGCTGACCGCCACACATGTATATAGCAGATTACTTTCAAACCATATTGAACAAGTTTGTGCTTTAGGTATGCTTTTTTTTATATTCGTTACTTAGCGTATATTTTTAATGGAAAATTTATCACACGTTAAATATTTCAAGGCCAGAAAATAATGACCTAATGACGTATGGCAGGATTTTAAGCAGATTTTATTCATTGCAGCAGATCAGTAGCTCGCATGTCCAGGGAGACAGGGATGGACTACCAGACTACAATGTCAACCATGAAAATGAAAAACTTTCTTCTTTTCTTATCTATAAAGATTTTGACATTGCTTATAAGCCTTTACTGTTTTTTTTTTATATCGGCGTGGTGGTAGCGGTAGCATCCACGCCAATATGATTTTTAAAAGCTTACATGTAAATAATCTTTGAGTGGGATTTGCTGTGTATAAAGTCAAAAAGGAATATAAACTTAATGATTTCAAACGTAAAAGATTATGCTTGTTACAATTCACTTTATTCTATTTTCTTAGCCTTTTTTTTTAGAAGTTTTTAAAAAAAAATTTTAATTTGATTTAATTCAGAATTAAAGTGTTTGAATATGAAAAAAATAACGATCTAGGGAGCAAAAGAGGCTGGAAATAAGACAACAATATGTTTTTCAATTTTCCGCACTTTAACTGAATTCTGACGGGCGTTTTACATACTAATTGTTAGTCCAATGAATTGATGACGGATTTTCCCGCTTTTTCCTGATTATGACAAGGAGCATACGGATATTGTTTTGGAGGTCCGTTTTTAATTGCTCTGCTCCTATTTTGTTTTGTTTTATGGACTTTTTATCTTGAAATCTATTTGTTTTCTCAAATATTTCATTCGTCTCTAACTGATTTACTTACAGATTTTTTATCCAACAGAAAGAAGAAATTTACCAATCTCAGTAAAACTTGTTATTGCCATTAACAGTAAATTACGCATACAATTTATCTCTTCCTGGTATTTCCCCTTTTGAATGTTAACGGTGACGGCACGATGCGTTTTTAGACCTTTCACTCGGAGTCATGGAGACAATGCAACTATTCGGAAAAAACCAATTATACTTTTATCCTTTTACCTTTTGAGCTTACCCGGGACAGGAAAGATGAAACTCATGTGGAAGCATCCTTAGGTAGTGTACATTTAAGTTTTTTCCTCAAATTATGACCCTCGGGGTAGGTTGGGCCACAGTGGGGTATCAAAGTTTAACATAGGAATACATGAAAAAAATCTTTAAAAATCTTCTCAAGAACAGCAAAGCCATGATTGGTCATAGTTATATGGAAACATCCTTTTGTAGAATCTTGTAGATTCACGTTTGTTCAAATCATGACCCCTGGGGCAAGAGTGGGGCCATAATGGGTGAGTTTAAAAAGGAACACATAGAAAAAGTCTTTAAAATTCTTCTTCTCTAGTACATTAAAGTCTTGATCGTTCATATTATTTATATGGAAGAATCTTCGGTTAGTGTAGATTCAAGTTTGTGCAAATCATGAACCGGGTGGGGGTTAAGGTTTAGGGGGACCGCATTGGGTGATGTAAGTTTTACTAAGGAAAACATAGGATAAAACGTATAAATTTTTCACATCAACAACAAAGCCATTATTGATCATCAATATAAAAGCATCGAAAAGGGTTATGTAGATTTAAATTTGATCAAATCTTAACAAACCAGAAGAACAGAAAAGCCATTAAAATGGATCATAGTTATACAAAGGAATAATATGATTTCTTTCGTTTGAGGAACGGATTTTGACAGAAATCAATTTTACTTGGTGTGATAATGAAATACGTTTTTCGGAATTACAAGGTTTTTATTCGAATACCTGCAGTGGTGAATATCACGTGGTTCTTTAGAACCGGTCTCGTTAGCAGGCTATATCAGAGGTGAATAGTGGTTTAAATGCCAGTTTAGGACGACAAGAAAAGCAAGATAAAATTTAAATTTTATCATGATTTATTCAAACCAACATCTACACGTATATATAAACTGATTTTCATATTTATGCCATCGTAAACGGGGGCATAAAAAAATTATCTCATAAACAGCAAAGCCATTATGAATCATGTTAATTTAAAAGCATTCATAGGAAGTATAGATGTAAGTTGTTTGTTTGTTTTTTTTATCAAATACCCCCTCTCCCCTGAACTACTTTCTACTAGTATATTTATTTTTTTTCAATACTGAACTGATTTTTACTTTTATCTATCCAATTGCTCACGTGAGCGATGTGGTCCCTGGGCCTCATTTTAAAGCAGTGAACTAATTTTTGACTTCTCTCAACAAAACCCATAGCACTACATTTAGCAAGTTTCGTATACTAGTATATATTATTCTCTCCGATATTGATTTTAATAAAAGATTATAAGAGACTTTCAAAGAAATATATCTGATTTTATTACACGAAACTCTAATTATAAAACGGACTGTAAAAAGTTTGATCCGCCGATATATTTGGATTTTATTGACACACTTTCCTTAACATTAACAAATAATGACCGAGTTTTTATTATCTTCACTTAACCCTATGTGACCACGGCTAAAGGAGTCACGAAGTCGTCTTATTAGGGAAAAGGTATTGTTTTTATTCTTTGCTCATCTGCATTATAATATCATTCATAATGCAAAACTTCTTTTAGTAATAAATTCTGGGCTTGTAGACAGAATTTTCCTTTTAAGTTCTTTTATATTCTTTAATCTAAATAGAGAGATAAAAAATGTAAGAAATTGGTTAAACATGTACATGTACTTACATATGTATAGTAATATACTTCAATCTAAATTTAACATTCAATTGACACTAATGATTAATTGAAACCAATCTTCTACACTTTTAATTCAAATTAAAAATATTAAGTCTGTCTTTTACAGTATTCTCAGTGTAAAGACAATCTTTTAAGTCCTAATAAAGAATACTCTTATGGGAACTTGAATAGGAGAATTATTATCTCTATAAAAATGTAAACAACTGTATAATATATTTCATTATGTTACATATACTCTTCTCAACGGTATGTGCTTAGGTTGAACTTTTAAAAACTCCTCTTTCATATTTACAAGTTCTAATTACACTGTAGTCGCAATTGTTTCATTGAATTTTTTTTTTTAATATACAGTTATACAGTTTGTCGTTGTATTGATTTGAACTAGAATTTTTTTTCCATTTTCCTTAAAGTAAAGTTTGCATTCATCATGTTAGTTCTTTCAAACAGGAAATTTAAATATTTTTGATTGATGGTATGTTGTTTAACGTACCTCTCAAATTTTTTTACTAATATGGAGACGCCACCACGTGCCGGTGGAGAGCTGAAAATTTTGTCCTATACTCGTCACTTAGGGCCGTTGAGCAGGGAGAGAACTTTTTCGTGCTAGTACCCACTGCAACACGAGACTTTGGTTTATGCGGTCTCTTCCGATGAACCGGTCTCTACGTCCCACAGTTGAATTCGAACCCGCGACGTAAGGATCAGCTCCTTACTTCGCGACTCTAGAGCAGACGCTCTAACCACTGCGCCACAAAGTAAACTCCTTAACTTAAATTTTTGTCCCTCAAAAACCACATACCCTATTGTTAAAAAAATTAAAGTAAAAAAGGATTTCATTTTCTTTCTTAGATGTTGGCAGTTGTTGTATCAGTGCTTTTTCTAAAAGGTGAGAAACTAGCGATTTGGTCTAAATGTATTAGAGGTTTTTTGTTGGGGTCTATGGAATTTACTCTTGCTACACAAATAAAAAAAATGGTTAATTGAAAGCCAATTTTATCCCAATAAAAAGCATTTATTGATATTGCATGTTTAAATATTTAATGATATCATTACAGTTATTACGTCACAATATGTTTGCCAAGATGGTTGTTGCGAGTCTGATCCTAGATGTTCAAATTTCGATTTCATAATGACAGCTTGCCTTGACTCAGAACAATCAAAAATCTGCCCGGTAACATGTAAAACATGTTCAGTATCCCAAACAACAACATCACCTCCTACGTTACTTTCTCCGATGACGTCACCATCTCCTTGTCGTGATACAGATCCAAGATGTTTTGAATTTGATTTCATAATATCAGGATGTCTAGACCCAACACAAGCCTCTCTTTGTCCACAGATGTGTGGTTTATGTTCTGTGACATCAACTCCATTGCCAACAACACCCTCCCCCATAACAACACTCCAAACGACAACAACGACCACAGAAAATGTTTGTGAGGACACTGACCCACGCTGTGTGGAGTTCGAATTTCTTATGACCACTTGCCTTGATAGTGAAAAGTCAAAAACTTGTCCGAAAATGTGTGGCCTCTGTTCAGCAGAGACAACAACACAGGCGCCAACAACCACAACAATATTGACAACTACAGAGGCGACAACAACAACATTGGCACCAACAACCACCCCGGCATGTGTAGACACTGACCCACGCTGTGTTGATTTTGATTTTATTATCACTGCTTGTGTTGATCCGATCCAGTCAAAACTCTGTCCTCGCATGTGCCAACTTTGTTGAATATATCATTAAACTGAAAATTAATCACAAATGATGTAATGTAATATTGGATATGAAATTCATTTCTGTAGAACAATAAATCAAACAAAAATTTTTAAAAAATATGTCGAAAGCTTTCTCGTCTCCCTATGACATTAACTCTAATAACAAGATACCTTAATTGCGGCAATCATAAGTGGAAAATACTAATCTACTTTTCATTATATAGCAAACAGTATTCTCAGAATGTTTGTTTATTATCGTTGTATTAGTATTATTTCTATATCTTTATGCCGCTATAATTGAATTTTCGGGTGAATGATAAACAGTGTAGCTTTTGTCCTGTTTGTCTGTATATCTATATGTCTAATTGTGCACAAAAAATTTAATCTTGTCCATAAGATTAGGGTGGGTAGGACTAAGGCTTTCATATTCTAAAGGTGTATATCTTTCTTAAAGTACCGACAAAGACCTTGGAACTTGTTCAACATTTACGAAAAATTATCAGTCTTTCTTGTTGCTTGAGCTTTCCTACTTTACATTTATATTTCTGTGACAAGACCTTTCAATGGATATTAAAATATTGAACCTTAATCTTAGAGTATTTACATTTTTAAAAACTTTAATCTTGCCCATAACATTTGAAACGTTAGTACTAGGGCTCTATAATTCACAAGTGTGTTCCTTATGAAAAAAAACCCTTCACTTTGTTACCAACAATTTTGACTTTTTGACTTTGACCTTTAAAGTTTTACATGCATTTGAAAAACATCAATACTCACCATAAGCTGCCATACCAGGGGTATCAATATTTCACAAACACATCTTTTGTTTTATACCTGTTATGAATTTGTCATTATACATGAGATTCAAAAGATGGATATCTGTTACCTGACAAACTAGTCAGTATGTATTTTCTTTTTTGGCACTTACAACTCACCATACATTTTGTTTTCAAAAATTGTTTGCATAGAGCCTACACCCACGATACCCCTTAAGCGTTGAACAGAATTAATTTGATATTTTAGGAAAGTAATTTTTTATCCAGTTCCAATCAAGAGTGTACGAGGATTTGATTGAACCTGAATGAGTAAACACTAATCGAAATACATTATCTTTATTATAAAATAAAAAAACGACTTTATCAGATCCATGCGAAGTAATTCGAAACGGTTCTAAGTAGATTCTAAGTAAATACACACATTGATATACATAAATGAAGAAATAAATTATAATTTGAAACAGAATTGTTTATTACATTATAATTTAAAATAAACAAATCTCTAGTGATAATTTCTAATCCACGAGATTCATAAATGCGATTGTCAGCTTGTGAAATAATCGTCAATAACGTAATAAATTTACCCTATGATGAAATGCTTCCTGAAAATCTCCATAACATGTTCAATTCTCTTTTAAATATCAGTGATATTACATTTTATGTGGGGTATATAAATTATCTGGTAAAATGTTTTTGTTACAGTCTGGCGAAGTACAACAAAATGTACACGTAAAATACATCCTTGTGCCTGAGGACGGATCATATCCAGAACATTCTGGACGGTCTGAAGTCTGATCCCACCATTTTACTCGACATTCATCTTCAGTAGCACATCTGGAAAGAAATGAAAACAAGGGAAAAATTTTCAGACGGAACGTTTAGAGCAAAATTTTCACTTCTACATAAAAAAAGATTAACAGGTCAGGATATGTTAATGCTAGGGTTTTTCTCTTCGTAGTCGGAAGAGCTTGGTTGGATTCGAATCTCATTCGCAGCGCCACACCAAACCTAAGGCTTCAACATAGGTAGTGACCGTTTCTTCTTCAAGCGCCCGCCATTTAAAGTGAAAGTCGTGTTCCTTCGAATCAGACTCTAAAAAACTGTGGTTCCTTGTTATGAAAGCTTCAACACGATAAAAACCCTCACTGCTGAATAACTTTGAGTGTCGAGAATATATCTTAATTTGCATACTTTCACCCTTTCGTCGGTAATAGTGATGTCTCTATATGAGTGAAAGTTTTTCGAATTGGACATAAACACAAATCAAAAAGAATTTGTTAATTAAGATTTCTTACCTCCTTCTTATTATTTTTTAAACCTCTGGAGAATGGTTTTCAAAAGAACTATTTAGAATCTACATTCCTTTAAGGAACTGTTTTTCATTTTAGTTACGTCAAGATTAATTGGCATGACCAATTTCAAGAAGACAAAATGTAAAAAGTAGTAGATATTTTTTTAAGGAAGCGGTATTCCATCTTCATAAAAATATTTCAGAATAGATAATACATGTAAGTACTTTAACCTCATACATTGGAAGAATTGTAATTATTCTAAAATACATATATTATGTTCAGGACAAAGAGGAATTATCACAACTAGTACTTACTAGATGAAGTGTTAAGTTTGTACATTTTACATGAAATATTGTTCTAAAAGTTCATATTTGAGACAAGGGGAAATCATTCCTAATACATACGTTCTATTTAATGTTCTGGAGCCATCTCTATTGTTTACCAATATATTTAAGCAATATTGTTGGTCCGGAGTAGCACATTGTAAAGGTGTGGAAAACTGTTCACATATATATATCGGCATTCCATTACACAGGTAACAGGAAGCTGTAAAAATCCAATCAACACCAATCAATAAACTATCGCCCATATTTTTACAAAGACAAAACATCCATATAATATAATCCATACAATCCACAAACAAATTAAATCTTTCATTGTTTATAAGATAGTTTTATTTGCAAGAGACGTTCATTCGTAAATTAAAAAAATATAAACAAAATCTGTTGCTGAGTATAATATTTCTTTACTTGGAAGGGGTGGAGTGGTTGTTGTGATCGAAGTGGGCGTTGTCGTGGTTGAAGTGGGCGTGGTCGTGGTCGACGTGGGAGTGGTTGTGGGTGAGGTAGCCGTTGTTTTGAGTGTAGTACGGGCTTTAGATGGTATGGTACTAATCGAAGCGACATTGGTCGATAAAGAAATGGCTACAATGATTGAAAAAGATCCTGTTGTAGATTATGTATCACTAAACAAGTAACATTCCCGTGTACAATTTTTGATATGTTCAAAGTTTCTCGGAACGGAGGTGGACTCAGAAGGGACACCGTGTGGTTTATAACTTTCATGAAGCTAATGCACTCAAGATATTTAGAAGTTATAAAGATTATAAAATACATTTTAATGCTATGTTCATGGTAGATCAATCATCTCCCATCATAAGTACAGAGCTGCACCTTACTTGATAAACAATAAAGATGACCACCATAGAGCTAGATTCTTTGCTTTTATTAAAAGCATATATAAATTCAAGTGGATACATATAATTATAAGTCAATATGTTAATTTAAGATACATGTACCAGGTATATTAATATGAACATTTAATATATTCACCTTGCATGCTGCACTGATTCAAATTACACGGGCGATATATATCCCCGTCGTTGGCGCAACAACGGAAGCAGGTGTTTAATTTTCGTTTGCCTAAGATATTACCAACCATAACTGGTGCATGTGTAGTATGCTTTACTATCCCATCAAGACCGCTGACGGTATCACATATCTAATGAATCAAACGATAAAAGATAGGATAATTTATGAATAAAGAAATCTGAAATTTTTGACGTTTGTTAATTATTATTATGCTTGCAGACTGTTCTGTAAATATTAAAGTGAATTAAGGGGACGAAGGATGTTTGGTCACATGACTCAGTTTAATTACGTCATAATCACTGATAAAATATGTACAAAACAAGATTGAAACAACAGTACTTGTATAATTTTTT